GCATTCGTCTCGGTTCACCTGTTAGTAGCCTTGACCGTACAGGATCAGTTGTGGAAGTGCCACTCGAAACCGTTGAACGCGGCACAGCACTGGCATCTGCACTCATCAAATTTCATAGAAAGCGAATCCAATTAGCAAAGAAAAGTCTCAGGAAGAAGCAATATGCCTGGCTTACTTGTTAGTTGCGTTGACGGTTCAGGATCAGTTGAGGAACTGCCAATCGGAGCTGTTGAACGAGGCTCAGACTGGCATCTGCAAATTCAAACTTCAAAAAAAACTTCACATTCCGTGGAAAGCGGATCCCATAACGTAAGGGAAGTCTTAGAAGGAGGCCTTCTTCTCGGCTTACTCGTTAATTGCATTGACCGAACAGGATCAGTTGAGTATCTGCCATTTGTAACTGTTGAACGTGGCTGAGGACTGGCACCTGCAAATTCAAACTTCAAAAGACAAACTTCAAATTTCGTGGAAAGCGAATCCAATTAGCAAAGAAAAGTCTTAAGAAGAAGCATTGTCTCGGCGGTTACCTGTTGTAATAGCCTTGACCGTACAGGATCAGTTGTGGAAGTGCCACTTGAAACCGTTGAACGCGGCACAGCGCTGGCATCTGCACTCATCAAATTTCATAGAAAGCGAATCCAATTAGCAAAGAAAAGTCTCAGGAAGAAGCAATATGCCTGGCTTACTTGTTAGTTGCGTTGACGGTTCAGGATCAGTTGAGGAACTGCCAATCGGAGCTGTTGAACGAGGCTCAAGACTGGCATCTGCAAATTCAAACTTCAAAAGACAAACTTCAAATTTCGTGGAAAGCGAATCCAATTAGCAAAGAAAAGTCTTAAGAAGAAGCATTCGTCTCGGTTTACCTGTTAGTAGCCTTGACCGTACAGGATCAGTTGTGGAACTGCCACTCGAAACCGTTGAACGCGGCACAGCACTGGCATCTGCACTCATCAAATTTCATAGAAAGCGAATCCAATTAGCAAAGAAAAGTCTCAGGAAGAAGCAATATGCCTGGCTTACTTGTTAGTTGCGTTGACGGTTCAGGATCAGTTGAGGAACTGTCCAATCGGAGCTGTTGAACGAGGCTCAAGACTGGCATCTGCAAATTCAAACTTCAAAAGACAAACTTCAAATTTCGTGGAAAGCGAATCCAATTAGCAAAGAAAAGTCTTAAGAAGAAGCATTCGTCTCGGTTTACCTGTTAGTAGCCTTGACCGTACAGGATCAGTTGTGGAACTGCCACTCGAAACCGTTGAACGCGGCACAGCACTGGCATCTGCACTCATCAAATTTCATAGAAAGCGAATCCAATTAGCAAAGAAAAGTCTCAGGAAGAAGCATTATGCCTGGCTTACTTGTTAATTGCGTTGACGGTTCAGGATCAGTTGAGGATCTGCCATTTGTAACTGTTGAACGTAGCTCAGGGCTGGCATCTGCAAATTCAAACTTCAAAAAACACATCAAATTTCGTGGAAGGCGATTTTACGACTAATGAACAAAAGTCTGAGAAAAAAAAGCATCATGCCTGGCTTACTTGTTAATTGCGTTGACGGTTCAGGATCAGTTGTGGAATTGCCGCTCGAAACCGTTGAACGTGGCGCAAGACTGGCATCTGCAAATTCAAACTTCAAAGAGCAAACTGTGTAATAACGACTTTACGTCGTTATTCACCAAATTTTGTCTCAGCTTACAAGTCGGTTGAATTCATTCAATCGATGCGCGAGACTCTTTGTGCGCAGACCTCATTATCTGTAAGCCCTTCAAGAGGCTGCGCTTTTGTAAACATACCCTCACCACTCGTTTCACTTGCCGTCAATGCAAGTGGAATTTAACTTATTATTGTTGGGTTGACCCATAATTTCTGCCGATTTTTGTTGAAATTCATTTGCAATATGTCAACACAGACTTGTTATATCGAATATAGTTTATATTGTTGAGACAATCAAGGAACTTTAAGCTAGGGATGTTTTCAGTAAGCCTCAAATGCGAATGAGATAGATTAAAGGGGATCAAAAAAGCTTCAACTAGGAAACCCAACCATTATGCCTAACGAAATTTGAAGAAGAACGTTGAGAGGAGCATGGTAAGCAAGATCAGCGCTACGTTTGCCCTAGCCTTTGCTACTGATCGACCCCTGAGCTATTGGCTCAATAGCATCGGCAAATAAAAGATAAGAGCTGCAAAGTTCGACCTCATCATGACCTCCAGTCACTTTGGATGAGAACCCCTTGCGCAACGAACAAGAAGTGCATGCTGACGCTATTAGCAGGAAACTGTAGACATAACACCTAGACGCAGCCTACGCTCCATGAGTCGACACCTGAACGAAAGGGGTTGTAGCAGTATGTATGGAGGAGGCTCGATGGAAACAGCAGGCATCGACTGACTGGCCGAGAGGCACGCTTGACCATCTGCAGAAGTTTCATTCTTCAACCATATAGACACGACATTTCCTAGTTGGTCACTAGTGCAGATGAGTCATGAGTCCACCACGATAACAACACACGTCGCCCCTTGTGGCTCCCTCGCAGCCTGGACTCACCATCTCGACTCAAAGCCAATAAAGCCTCATCGAAATATTACGCCGTGTCGTTTGAAAGCAGTATCCTGTTTTGGGAAGAAACATTTCACTTTATGCAGACAAGCATTGCGAAGGTGACCATGGAATAGCTCCCGAGTTGGCTACAGCAGTGCAGAAGAACGGTTCGAAACGTCTCAAAATCTCCTTTCTCCGAAGGACCGCCCGAAATCACATTGCAAAGATAACTCGCCACGTTTCGAAGGAAACTGGCTGGACCACGACACCACATCTGTCGTATAGCCCTGACATTGCTCCATCGTACTATCACTCCTCAGCTCCCTGAAGCAGCAGCTTGGAGAGAAAACAGTCAGTAAATGCAACCACCCCAAAAACGACCTCTCCGAACTTTTCATTCCACAGCTCCATTCATTCTGGGAGGAATGCATCCATTCGCTCCCTAGCAAGTGGATGCTTATCAGTGATTATGATTATGGCTACTCCTTGACCAATCGTTTTTGAGGAAGATTCCTCACAACTTTTTCTGTTGTTTTTGTCTACAGTTCTCTTTATCTGTATTTCCATGAACTGCACTTTCTTCCACGTGACTGTTTCTCATGGCTCACCAATAGGTCACTTACCCTTCTTGAAAGAGATTAAGCCATCAACAACTTTTTTGGATGTCTTGTACAAAACACTTCTTTGTTGGTGCTCAGTATAAATACCCCCTGCGCAAACAGTAGGGGCTTCTTGCTTCTAACTTCTTAGCTTCTTAGGCTCTTGGTTCTTTATTACTCCTCGCTTTAACTCCCCATTGGTGCTACATTTGAACACTTCCACATTTGTGTCATGGTCCAAATAAAACTTCCAAACGTATGTGATATGGAAGATTTTACGGAATTTGTGGTGACTCGTAGAACCGAACTTGGACCGCGTGGGACTCTAATCTGAGGATACAGCAGAATTTACATATCTACACCTCCACAGTCGCTGTAAACTTAAATTTCGTGGAGCAAAGAAAAGTCTTATGAAGAAGGCATTCTCCTTGGCTTACTCGTTAATTGCGTTGACCGTAGAGGATCAGTTGTGGAACTGCCATTCGTAACTGTTGAACGTGGCTCAGGACTGGCATCTACAATCGTCAAATTTCATGGAAGGCGAATTTCCCATTAACAAAGAAAGTGTGTTGGGAAGAGGTATTATTCCTGGCTTACTTGTTAATTGCGTTGACGGTACAGGATCAGTTGTGGAACTGCCACTCGAAACCGTTGAACGTGGCTCAGGACTGGCATCTACAATCGTCAAATTTCATGGAAGGCGAATTTCCCATTAACAAAGAAAAGTGTTGGGAAGAGGTATTATTCCTGGCTTACTTGTTAATTGCGTTGACCGTACAGGATCAGTTGTGGAACTGCCACTCGAAACCGTTGAACGTGCCTCAGGACTGGCATCTGCAAATTCAAACTTCAAAAACAAACTTCAAATTTCATAGAAGGCGAATTTCCCATTAACAAAGAAAAGTGTTAGAAAGAGGCATTATGACTGGCTTACTTGTTAATTGCGTTGACCGTACAGGATCAGTTGTGGAACTGCCACTCGAAACCGTTGAACGTGGCTCAGGACTGACATCTGCAAATTCAAACTTCAAAAACAAAAAACAAATTTCATAGAAGGCAAATTTCCCATTAACAAAGAGAAGTGTTAGAAAGAGGCATTATGCCTGGCTTACTTGTTAATTGCGTTGACCGTACAGGATCAGTTGTGGAACTGCCACTCGAAACCGTTGAACGTGGCTCAGGACTGGCATCTACAATCGTCAAATTTCATAGAGGGCGAATTTCCCATTAACAAAGAAAAGTGTTGGGAAGAGGTATTATTCCTGGCTTACTTGTTAATTGCGTTGACGTACAGGATCAGTTGTGGAACTGCCATCGAAACCGTTGAACGTGGCTCAGGACTGGCATCTACAATCGTCAAATTTCATGGAAGGCGAATTTTCCATTAACAAAGAAAAGTGTTGGGAAGAGGTATTATTCCTGGCTTACTTGTTAATTGCGTTGACCGTACAGGATCAGTTGTGGAACTGCCACTCGAAACCGTTGAACGTGGCTCAGGACTGGCATCTACAATCGTCAAATTTCATAGAAGGCGAATTTCCCATTAACAAAGAAAAGTGTTGGGAACAGGTATTATTCCTGGCTTACTTCTTAGTTGCGTTGGCGGTACAGGATCAGTTGTGGAACTGCCATTCGAAACCGTTGAACGTGGCTCATGACCATCTGCAAATTCAAACTTCAAAAAACAAACAACTAAATATCGGGGGGGGGGGGGGAAGGCTATTTTACCACTAATAAAGAAAAGTGTTAGAAAGAGGCATTATGCCTGGTTTACTTCTTAGTTGCGTTGACGGTACAGGATCAGTTGTGGAACTGCCATTCGTAACGGCTGAACGTGGCTCAGAACTGGCATCTGCGAAATTCAAACTTCAAAAAACAAACTTCAAATTTCGTGAAAAGCGAATCCCATCAGCAAAGAAAAGTCTCAAGAAGAGGCGTTCTTCTCGGCTCACTCGTTAATTGCGTTGACCGTACGGAATCAATTGAGGAACTGCCAATTGTAGCTGTTGAACGTGGCTCAGGACTAGCTTCTGCAGTCATCAAATTTCATGGAGGTGAATTTTCCATTAGCAACAGAAAGTGTAAGAAGGAAGCATTGTTTTTGGCTCACTTGTTGATTGCTTTGACGATACAGGATCAGTTGTGGTGCTACCATCAGTAACTGTTGAATATTGTTCAAAACTGACATCCGTAGTCCGTCCTAATAACATTGAAAGCAAAATTTCCCCTCCATAAAAAAGGTGAGTGCGAGAAGGACCTTTTTTAGCTTACTCGTTGTGCCATGCCTGATTGCGTAAGGCGGTACGTCGTCCATTGTAGAGCTACCATTAACAATTGCTGAATGTTATTCAGAATCGATACCTCAAGCCATTCTAGAACTTTACAGAGAATTTTTTTATCAATAGCTCGTTCTGAGAAAGAACTATCTTTCTGATTTTGACTCTATTGTAAACTACTGTTTTTGGGCATACTAGTTCACCATGTAACTTTTCAAGAATGCTGCGACAAATCTTTCGGCTAGGCTGGACCCGAACCAGGGTCGACCGCCCGTCGCGCACAGAACAACGAGGGTTTCGTATTTGCCGAATGGAAGAGAGGGGAGCGTTACATCAGAGGAACACACAACAAAGTTAGAAGGGCGAGAGTGCAAAGGAAGACAGAGTTTTTCAACTGTTACTGCAACTACGCGCCAAAGACGATTGAACGGTGCATCCTAGAGCGAGATTTCTTACTAAAATATATCACGTTCCAATGAGCACAAGTGAAAAATTTTTGCTGGAGAAACTCCCATCCTTTCAGACGAAAGTGGGGGAAAGTGCACCGAACTGCGTTGGTTGACTTCTGGAGCACTAATAGAAACCTCTGGCGGTAAGAAGATCCCTTTAGGATTATCTAAATTGTTGATCTATGTATAATACATAGATTTCAATGGTTTTTACCGTTTCCCACTGCATCGCTTTGAAGAGGAAGAATGCCATTCAATAAAAAATTCTTGTTTCAGGAGAATGGCCTGGAAGGGTAGTAAAGTGCCCTAGACTGGCAATCAAATGTGGTGATTTACACCCATTGGCGAGGAATAGAGAACGTGGAAACATGGACATGACCCTAGTTGAAACCGCCAGCCTCGCCACCCGACCTGCAAAACTTGCCCTCTCGGACTTGAGCCCTGGATGGTAGGGCTCATAGCCGGGTTTTTGCCACTGCACCAGGGATCACTCGACCACACCACTGGAAGAGATGTTGATGAAAGGTATGCAATGGATGTTGTTTGCAAATCTTAGACTCCAAGCGGTGTGATCCAGCAACCTTGCCAGCGGCAGCGTGGAACGTCCCCATTGAGCCAATGGCAATTTGCCATAGTGAAGTGGTGAGCATCCACCACGTTGCTTGCAAAAGTCGCGTCACACACGGGTTTGAACCTTCGGTGCACCGTCCCATGAGCGGCATCGCTACCACTGCACTATGGAGCCCTTCTTATCGACGGTGAAAGAGTTGTAGAGAAAAGGCAATAACCCACAAAAGTTGCAAAGATTTTGACATCTAGTAGTATCGATCCCGTGACCGACTCAACACCAACGTGGACCGCAGGCGCTACACCATTGACGAATCAATGCAAGTTGCTTCCCTTTCCCTTTTCAACACACTGCTTTGACCCACACAGCCTGGCTGTTTGGAGATCGCCATCTCTAAAAAGTGCTCCGGAGAACTTTTCAGAGATGGCAAAGCTTCAATCTTTTGTTTCTAATTAGCTTTGACAATGTGCAAGGAGTTAATAATGGAAGAAGTTGTGAAAGTTTGAAGTGAGAACGTTTGAATGATGAAAACTCGCGTGTACACAAAAAAGGGAACGACGGAATTTGCTGAAGTATTGAACATTTCCATAAGTTTTAAGAAATTTTTAGAAAAGAAAAACAATAGAAGTTTTCAAATTTTTATAGAGGGCGGAAGTGGTGTAGTGGCAAGTGGCACGCTTACCACGCGAGCGGTCCGGGGATCAAATCCTGGGTCGTGAGTCGCCCGGGCCAACCAAGCCTTCCATCCCTCCGGGGTCGGTTAATTGGTACCAGACTTGTCTGGGAGGATAAAAACACTGACTTGTACATCGGCTGGCCCCCGCAAGTCATTGTATAGGCCA